TCAAAAAGACAAATAAAGACAACTGCTGGTGAGGATACAAAGAAAAGAGAACTCGTATACATTGTTGGTGCGGATGTTGATTAGTAAAGTCAATATGGAGGGCAGTGTGGTTTCTCATTGAACTACAAATAGAACTACCATATGATCCAACAATCAACTACTGGGCATTTATCCCAAAGAGAGGAAATCAAAGGGTCATTCACACTTCCATGTTCATTACTAGTCACAACAGCCAAGATATGGAATCAACCAAAGTGTCTAACAACAAATGAATAGATAAAGAAAATATGATATATATACATAATACTACTGTCTTTTTTTTTTTTTTTTTGGAGTTGGAGTCTCACTCCTTTGCCCAGGCTGGAGTGCAGTGGCACACACGCTCATGGCCACCCACCCCAGCATCCCCCTGCTGGGTTCCAGTGATCCTTCCACCTCAGCCTTCCAAGTAGCTGGAACTACAGACACACGCTACCATGCCTGGCTATTATTTTATTTTATTTTATTGTAGAGACAAGGTCTAGCTAAGTCTCCCAGGCTGGTCTCAAACCCACACTCTCAGGCAATCCACTCGCCTCGGCCTTCAGTCTTAAAAAAGAATGAAAGAGTTCCGGCCGGTGTTCTCGCAAGCCCTGGACCTTCGCTGTGTGGACTTTAGGAAAGATGGCCTGTGCCGCCGCGCGTTCCCCGGCCGACCAGGACAGGTTTATTTGTATCTATCCCGCTTATTTAAATAATAAGAAGACCATCGCGGAGGGACAGCGAATCCCCATAAGTAAGGCTGTTGAAAATCCTACAGCTACGGAGATTCAAGACGTGTGCTCAGCAGTTGGACTTAATGTGTTTCTTGAGAAAAATAAAATGTACTCTAGAGAATGGAATCGTGATGTCCAATACAGAGGCAGAGTCCGGGTCCAGCTCAAACAGGAAGATGGCAGCCTCTGTCTTGTACAGTTTCCATCACGTAAGCTTTTTTAAATGAATGACGAGGATTTGGTGATAGACTATTCCTCTACAACACAAAAAAGTTTCTAAAACTGAAAGGTAAGTCAGTAATGTTGTATGCAGCGGAAATGATACCTAAACTAAAAACAAGGACACAAAAAACAGGAGGTGGTGACCAAAGTCTTCAGCAAGGAGAGGGAAGTAAAAAAGGGAAAGGAAAGAAGAAGAAATGACCTAGCATGAGCATCGAGCATGTGGTACTGCTGTCAGAGACATGAGTGGAGGCTTCTCATTTGTGGCTGAGAGAAATAGAAGCTCTTTTTTGTGTGCATCATTTAACTGTGAACTCTTGCGCCTCCCATAATCATCGTTGGCATTGACAGTGAAATAATTGTACACCGGAACTTTGCATCTAGCTTTTATGCGGTATAAAAGAATTTTTGTCTTTCATTGCAGAGTTTTTGTGGAAGAATATTTTTAAATGGACAGTGGACTGTACATTAAGTTACTTGAAATCCTGTGTCTGTTTGTCCTTTATGTAAACATGTTTCAAATAAATAAACTTAATAAAATTAGAAATATACATTTTGTTCACCTTCTAATTTGAAACTGACTTTTGCAGCTTTTACTTACAGACTAATAATGCCAGTAGAGAAGGCAATTAAAAAGAGTAAAATAGTGAAAGTTTCCATAGTGTGAGCTCAAAACTAGAAGGAAGTGGTAAGTGTGCTTGGGCGTCTGTAAACAATCTGTAGACCATAATTTTGTAATCTATTAATTGTGGTCACATTGTACATTTGCTAGTTTTTTTTACATGGAAAGTTCTACATCTTAAGCTTTAAATTTGTCTGTTTTGTAGGTTTAAGAACACTTTTCACAGAAGGTCTAAAATTACTCATGCTTTTGCACTTTGAGGTACGCTTTCTTTCAAGAAACTAAATTGGATTGGTGCCTCTGAATTTATTTCAAAGTGCTGTTTCTGAAAGTGGTGATTTTGAGCTCTCTGATTCCTGTTCTTCCTGAGACCAGGCTTAGCTCTTCTTGAATTCTGTGAGCTATATATATTTAGAGTAAGTCCTCTATTCTTTAAGTTTTTTGCCCACAGTCAGACAATCCCATTGATTCCATAATAGGCAAAGCCAGAGTTGTAGGACTTTAAATGGGATTATACATCAAGGCTGTGCAAAGGTGATCCTTGGTGTGCAAGAAAAAATGTTAGAATGTCTACTTATTTTTTCTCTTAATTTCTATTATATGTTTTATAGCGAGTACAATAGTGTAAACAGTTTATGTATCTGGTTTTTAAATAAACATGGTGGAAAGGGAGTACGTACAAAGCACAATTCAGGGCAGCCCTCTTTGAGAAAGTTTATCACTTAGGAATGTGTTTGGCTGTGTTACAGAAAACAGTGAGGTACTTAAGCAGAAGCTTATTTTTTTTTCAAATTTGATGAATTCCAAAGGAGGTTTAATAGTTGTTGGTTCTGCTCTCAGGGATCACTTTTTCGTATTTTTCTACTCTACTATCCATGGCATGTTTCTAACATCTTCATGACTGTTGTGTCAAGCTTGTATAAGGATTGATACTTATTTACATAAGAGTTCAAGGCAGAAAGAAAAGATAGCTGTGCTAGCCATTTCTGTCCCCTTTTAAAGGAAAAAGCAAGAGATTTCTCAAAATTCCTCCCAGCAGACTTTTAACTATTGAGAACTATCACATGTGTTTATCTCTAGCTGCAAAGGAGGCAGGAAAAGTAAATACAGTAGTCCCCCTTATCCTTGGGGGACATATTCCAAGACTCCAGTGCATCCCTGAAACAGTGGATCATACTGAACCCTGTATATATTGTGTTTGTTAAAATGTGTAAGTTAAGCAAGGTAAGAGATTAACAGCAGGAATAGGCTAGGACAGTTAAAACAATATAATAAAAGTTTTGTAAATGTTAGTCTCAGTATTTTATTGTGCTTGACTCATATTTTCGGATCAGAGTTGACCATGAGTGGCTGAAACCATGGGAAGTTAAACCACAGATGCAGAGGCACTGCTATGTATAGCTTTTTCAGTCCTGACAATCAAAGCAGCTAAGGAAGAAAGTTGAAAATGCAAACTGGGGCAGCCAACTTAAAAGATTTGTCATAACCAGGTACAATGGCTCAAGCCTGTAGTCCCAGCACTTTGGGAGACCAAGGCAAGAGGGTTGCCTGAGTCCAGGGGTTCGAGACCAGCCTGGGCAACTTGGTGAGACCTTGTCTCTACAATAAATAAAAAAGTTAGTTGGGTGTCGTGGTGTGTGCCTGTAGTTCCAGCTACTTGGAAGGCTGAAGAGGAAGGATTGCCTGAACCCAGCAGGTCGAGCCTGCGGTGGCTGTGAGCATGCCACTGCACTCCAGCCTGGGCGACAAAGTGAAACTCCAACTCAAAAAAAAAAAATTTGTCACAGAAAGATGACTGCAATCTACAATTATTTGTTGTGGGGCAATACAGATTGTCAGTGCTGTGGTTTGAATGTCCCCTCCTGGCATAGTTTGGGTGGTTGTTACCTCTGCACCTCATGTTGAAATGTGAAAAACCAGTGTTGGAGGTGGGGCCCAGTGGGAGTTGATCAGGTCAGGGGAATGGCTCCCTTATGAATGACTTGATGCTATTGCAGTGCATGAGTTCTCTATTTCAGTCACATGAGAGCTGCACCTCTTCCCTCTTGCTTCCGCCTCCTGCTGTGATTGTAAATTTCGTGATGCTTCTGCAGATGCCTGTCCTGTGCAGAATTGTGAGTGAAATGAACCTCTATAAAATTACCCAGCCTCGGGTATTTATAGTAACAAAAAACAGAATAATACACCTCAAAAACACGTGGAAATTTAATCACCATTGTGATGGTAGTGAGAGGTGGAACTGTTGGGAGGTGATAGGGCCCTCCCGGGCTCCAATCTTGTGAACAGTTTAATGCCGTTATCTCAGAAGTAGATTTGTTACAAGATGGAGTTAGAGCCTGTGATCCCAGTACTTTGGGCGACTGAGGTGGGAGGATTGCCTGTGCCCACAGGTTCGAGATCAGCCTGGGCAACTTGGTGAGATCTGGCTCTACAATAAATCAAAAAATTAGCTAGTGTGGTAGTACACACCTGTAGTTCCAGCTACTTGGAAGGCTGACGTGGGAGGGTTGCCTGAGCCCAGCAGGTCAACACTGGGGTGGCTGGGAGCATGCCACTGCACTACAGCCTGAGTGACGGAGTGAGCGTGCCACTGCAACTGAGAACTTGTGGCTGAATTAGTGATATTTAGAAAATGAAGCAAATGAAAGAACAAAATAAGGCTGGGTGAGGGTGGCTTACATGTAATCCCAGCACTTTGGGAACCCAGGATTCGAGACCAGCCTAGGCAACACAGTGAGAACTCACCTCTACAAAAAATTTTTTAAAATTAGCAAGGTATGGTAGTGCATGCCTGTAATCCCAGCTATTTGGGAGGCTGAGGTGGGAGGACCACTTGAGCCTAGCAGCTTGAGGCTGCAGGGAGCTGTGATCATGCCATTGTACTCCAGTCTGAGCTGAGTGAGGCCCTGACTAAAAAAACAAACAAAAACAATAATATTGAGCTCCAAAGAAAGCAAGAAGTTCAGAAAATCAAAATAACCATAGTGCATGTTGTATTTTTCAAACTTTAATGTGCATAAGAATCACCTGAGGATCTTGTTAAATGTATTGGAATTCTGGGCTAGGGCCAGAGACTGCATTTTTCATAAACTGTCTGGGAAGCCCTCCTACTTTGGAGGAGGAAAGGTACTACCTGGCTCAGGTATGAATGGAATGTATGATAGTAACGTAAACTCTGAGTAGTGATTACAATTGTGAAATATAGTGTAGGTTGGGAAGATGAGAAACTTGCATATGTATGAGGGAGGTGAAGGAGCTCTGAAAGGAAAACTAAATCTTTGCTCCCCTTCTACAGGTGAAAGTTAATGCCTAAACAGAAACAAATTCTATTAAGTTTGGTGGCTCTTTAAATTATGTATGTGTATAATTTTGATAACAAAGTTCCTAAAAATTGGACAGAGGATGTGAACACAGTTATGAATGCAAACAGTATTTTAACGTAGGAATAAATGCTCAGCCTTGCTCACTAAGGTTCTATTTTTCAGCCAAGTGTGGTGACATGCACCTGTAGACCCAGCTACTGGAAATGCTAGCTTGAGCCCACGAGTTCAAGTCCAGGCTGGGCAATATACCAAGACCCCCATCTCTAAAAGATTATAGTTTTCCCTTTCAATTGGCAAAAAGAAAGAGGTTGTTTTGCAATAATTGCAACAATGTAAAACAGCAACACAATGTTACAGCAAGAGCTCTAAAATGTTTTCTGACAGTCTTAGTGTTTTATGTTGCTGTTAACGGAATACCTCATACTGGGCACTCTGTAATGAATGAATAGAAATGTATTTGGCTCACAGTTGGGAAATCCAAGAGCGTGGCACCAGCACCCAGGAGGGGGTCTTTGTCACCCATGGTGAACAGCAAAAGGGCAAGAGAGAGAGAGGCTCAAGAGAGATCAAGAGAGAGATTCGGCCTAATTCCATCTTTTTTTCTTTTTTTTTTTTGAGACAGAGTCTCACTGTCACCGCACCTGACGGAAAAATAGAACCTTAGTGAACAAGGCTGAGCATTTATTCCTACATTAAAATGCTCTTTGTATTCATAACTGTGTTCACATCCTCTGTCCGCTTTTTAAGGACTTTGCTATCAAAATTATACATACATTTTTTTTCTTTTTTATTTATTTATTTTTTCAAACAAAGTTTATTAGAGAAAGAAGGGAGAAAAGAAAGGAAGACATGCCAGAGTTGGCATGGGTGAAAGAAACTGCCTTATACGTTATTATTATTTTATTCGATTTTTTAAATTTCTTTTGAGTTGGGAGTCTCATTCTGTCGCCCAGGCTGGAGTGCAGTGGCACGCTCCCGGTCACCACAGCCTCGACCTGCTGGGCTCCGGCGATCCTTCTGCTCCAGCCTTCCAAGTAGCCGGAACTACAGGTGCGCACTACCACGCCCGGCTAGTTTTTTTGATTTATTTGTAGAGACAAGGTCTCACCAACTTGCCCAGGTGGGTCTTGAACCCACGGGATCATACAGTCCACTCGCCTTGGCCTCCCAAAGTGCTGGGATTACAGGTTGAGCCATGGAGCCCGGCCCTCATACATAATTTAAAGAGCTGCAAGACTTAATAGAGTTTGTTTCTGTTTAGGCATTAACTTTCACCGGTAGGAGGAGAGGATTTGGTTTTCCTCTCTCCTTTACCTCCCCCATACACACGCAAGTCTCCCATCTTCCCGACCTACCAAGATATATATTTCACAATTGCAATCACTACTCAAGAGTTTACAGTACTATCATACATTCCATCCATACCTGAGCCAGGTAGTACCTTTCCTACTATAAAGTAGGAGGCCTTCCCAGACAGCTTATGAAAAATGCACTGTCTCTGGCCCCAGCCCAGAATTCAAATACATTTAACAAGATCCTCAGGTGATTCTTATGTACATTAAAGTTTGAAGAACAGAACTATGGTTATTTTTGTTTTCTGGACTTCTT